GAAGAACAGCTACCTGTTAAAACCTGTGCTCCTTGGCTTGGTAGAGAGCATCAGACCAAGGTAGACTATGCAGGAAAGGTGCAGAAAAGGTCTAAAGATGCTACAATGCTAAAACTGAAGATAGAGCATCATGGAAAATTCCAGTTGAATGCACGACTAATCACTACAGCCATTACACTATGGGTCACAGCCAGGGGCTGGGGGCCAGGGGCCGGAGCTGGGGGCTGGAGCAGGGAGCCGGGGGCTGGGGGCCAGAGGCCGAAGCTGGAGCCTGGCATGGGCTCTGCTGGCTCCGGGGAAGTGCTCCACTCCCCGACCCTGATGCTGGGGAGCAGAGCACTTCCCCGGAGCCGGTGGAGCCCATGCCAGCCGCCTGCGCCAGCCTCCATCCCTGCCTTGCTTCACTTCGGGGAGGAGCCGCTGCCTGCCCTACTGAGGCTCCACTGACTCCGGGACACTGCTCCGCTCCCCGTCCCTGACACCATGTGCCTCCTTGTACCCCGAGGTGATATGGGGCAGCGGAGCAGTGTCCCGGAGCCAGCAGAGCCTCACTTGGGGCAGGCAGCGGCTCCCCCCCCCGGGGGGGGGAGCCGCTGCCTGCCCTACTGAGGCTCCACTGACTCCGGGACACTGCTCCGCTCCCCGTCCCTGACACCATGTGCCTCCTTGTACCCCGAGGTGATATGGGGCAGCGGAGCAGTGTCCCGGAGCCAGCAGAGCCTCACTTGGGGCAGGCAGCGGCTCCCCCCCCCGGGGGGGGGAGCCGCTGCCTGCCCTACTGAGGCTCCACTGACTCCGGGACACTGCTCCGCTCCCCGTCCCTGACACCATGTGCCTCCTTGTACCCCGAGGTGATATGGGGCAGCGGAGCAGTGTCCCGGAGCCAGCAGAGCCTCACTTGGGGCAGGCAGCGGCTCCCCCCCCCGGGGGGGGGAGCCGCTGCCTGCCCTACTGAGGCTCCACTGACTCCGGGACACTGCTCCGCTCCCCGTCCCTGACACCATGTGCCTCCTTGTACCCCGAGGTGATATGGGGCAGCGGAGCAGTGTCCCGGAGCCAGCAGAGCCTCACTTGGGGCAGGCAGCGGCTCCCCCCCCCGGGGGGGGGAGCCGCTGCCTGCCCTACTGAGGCTCCACTGACTCCGGGACACTGCTCCGCTCCCCGTCCCTGACACCATGTGCCTCCTTGTACCCCGAGGTGATATGGGGCAGCGGAGCAGTGTCCCGGAGCCAGCAGAGCCTCACTTGGGGCAGGCAGCGGCTCCCCCCCCCGGGGGGGGGAGCCGCTGCCTGCCCCAAGTGAGGCTCTGCTGGCTCCGGGACACTGCTCCGCTCCCCGTCCCTGACACCATGTGCCTCCTTGTACCCCGAGGTGATATGGGGCAGCGGAGCAGTGTCCCGGAGTCAGTGGAGCCTCAGTAGGGCAGGCAGCGGCTCCTCCCCGAGGTGAGGCAAGGCAGGGATGGAGGCTGGCGCAGGCGGCTGGCATGGGCTCCACCGGCTCCGGGGAAGTGCTCCACTCCCCGACCCTGATGCTGGGGAGTGGAGCCTGTGCCAGGCTCCAGCTTCAGTCCCTGGCCCTAGCCCAGGCAGGGCCAGGGCCAGGGGCTGAAGGCAGAGATGGAGGCTGGGATGGGGGGCTGGCACGGGCTCCGCTGGCTCCGGGGAAGTGCTCCACTCCCTGGCCCTGATGCGAGGGAGCAGAGCACTTCCCCAGAGCTGGAGAGCCTGCGTCAGGCTCCCACCCCAGCCTCTTCTGGTGCACGGCCTTGAAAAGGCTGTGCGTGGCCACACTTTTAGTTGTGCGTGGCCGCGCACATGCGCACCTTAGAGGGAACCTTGGTCACAGGGAAATAAGACACATTGAAAAATCGAGGCAGTAAGCATGGATGGCCTGCTTCAACTTACATATTTTTACAACCTACTGGAAGTTCCTTTTCTTGTTGCAACAAATTAAGAAATTAAGCTTATATTTTACAATATACAAAAAGGGGTACATCTACACATGCAATTAGGGTGACGAAATAAACTCTGGCGCAGATTGCGCCAGGGTTTATTTCTCCTGGGTGTGGTGTTTACACGTGCACTTGGAACTGCAGCACATTGAGCTCGGGCAAAGCAGCCCCAGGTTGGCAGGCCATGGGGTTCAGGCCTGAGCTATGGGTGGTGGCAACAGGTGCCAGAGGAGCTGGTTAGGGCAAAAGGGTGCTACAGTGTGGGGCTAGCTGGTAGGCAGGCCCTATACTGTAGCACCCTCATGCCCAGCCTGTCCCGGCACTGTGTATGGTTGCGTTGGTAGAAGAGTAAATTATTCCGCTGTAACATAGTACTTGTCCCAGTCAGTAGAGTTAGTTAATTAATGCAACCTTATATGAGTGCATGTGTAGATGGTGACGCTTAATGATACATAAAAACAGTAATACAAAATCCTGAAAAAACACAGAATAAGGCTTCTGTCAGTGGACTGAGTTGGTTCTATGTTGTAACTGTTCCTTTCAAGGCTTTGTCTTTTTAAATGATATATGTTTTAGAGCAAGGGACCCTGGCTTTCCACCTTGCCCAAAATAACAACAACAACAACAATAATACATATGAAATTAATAAAAGAACAGTGTTAACATCAAACTTCCCAGAGACGAGCCTATGAGCTCCATTTCATAAACCTGCTAGATACTAGAGATCATGGACTAAACATAGACATTGGATTTTTGATACATTATAATCTGCCTGGCAACTGACTCCCCAGCCCAGCCCCTGGCTTCTTTACTTTTCATTCCATCCAGGAAGAGCACACAACAACTGCTGAAGCTTCCTTAGCCTGACAAAGGGTTTTTGAACCCGAAAGCTTGCTTAATAACTATTCTTCAACCATTTGGGTTGGTCTAATAAAAGATATCAAATTCACCCAAGGAACCTTGTCTGCCTATGTCCTTAGACCAACACGGCTACAACCCAAACCCCTGCAACATCAAAGTCAAGCACTTCGAAATTAGGACATCCTTTATTTCCTGCAGACGTTATAAAATGGATGGCAAATGAGATGGGAATATTTAGGCTGAACCTGACACACAGCATCATTGTACTCTCTGCTTTCTCTCTAATACCATTCATTTCCATGACAATTTAGAATTGCTTGAATAATTTTTCCAGTTCTTTACCTGCTTCCTTTTTCAGACAGGAGAGGTCTAGATACCTTGTTCTTACATTTATCTGTCTAGAAGACTACCCAGTTAAAAGAATGAGGATTTTTCAAAGAAGAGTTTGGCAAAGGATTTAAACTCTTATGCACTGGGGCCTAACCCAATTGGCTAATGAGGGATTAAAACACTCTACTGGTGCGGGTTATTACAAAACAGTGTATTGCAATGAATCTTGTACCTTCCCCTAAAGCAATTAGTGCTGGCTGCTCTCAGACACAGAATACTCAGGCATCTGCAGTCTAATCCATGGCAATTTTTATGTTTCACTTATCCTCACCTAAGATTTTATTTAAACAAAACAAAATTTTAAAAGTTTCTAGCTATTTGAAAATATCTTCCAATTTGTTTGCCATAGGAACTGTTCTTAAAAGTCAAAGGGTTTGTGAACAAAATAAGCCAGTTATTGAATTCTAACCTGTATTGCCTGATATCTCTAGTCTCATCTGATATCTGAACAGACCTTATGGTTGATGCAGAGTCTTCTAGCAGCGGTTGTTGTTAAATGAACAAATTACAAGCCTGCTTCATGTCTGTTGTTTGACAATCAGAAAAAGATAGAAGATGGCCATTAACAAGGGAAAGAAGTTTTTTTTTCATGGTGAGCTTGGTAAAGAGAACAACAACATTTGTTTCTAAAGCAGTGGTTCTCAACCTCTTCAGACTCAAGGTACCCCTCCTCTGACTCAGGGTACCCCTCCAAAACTGCCAGCTCTTTGATTGCATTCATTTTTTGACTACAGAAAAGTAATAGAGCACTGCAATTATGTTGCAAAGAACTCAAAAAAACTGCAACAGGTGAGTGTTTTTGACACTATGGATTCCTATTTGAAATCTCTGGGTTTATCTTGTGAATCATGTGTACATGTTTGCACATCTAACAATGCTAATATTGTGTGGCATCCTGTAGCACCCTTAAAAGGATGCCACAACATCCTGGTTGAGAATCACTGTTCTAAAGGAAAAAGAAATGTTTGTAGAAGTAAAACCTACTCAGATGTTTAATTTTGGATTGACTAGAGGTAACACCCGTTCCTTGGATTTGCTAACCATATTGAGCCTGTCTACCATACCACAAATTATAGCAAATGTCAGACGCACACAAAGATACTTTGTGGAATATGTGAAAAAGAAGAAACAAAGCAACTGTGGAACTACTGATCACAAACTTTTCTGAGAGAGGACTTTCAGGTTCCTTGAATTCTGTTTGATAATGTAATCTTGATAACATTAACTCCAAGCAGTAAAACACATGCGTGTGAAGTGCAATCGCAGCAAAAGTTGTAATTTCCCATTGGAGGAATACCTCCAGATCATAGTAACACATAAGCTCAGCTTTTGTGCCACTGCTTCATGAAGATGATCCACGCTCAAGATTTTGGAGCAGGTGATTGTTGGTTCCAGCCCCTACACGGTGCAGGAGTTGGTTCAGGACTGCTTAGCCACAGAGGTTTGGCTGACCCCACAGATCCAGCAGCACCCACTCCTGTGCTTGGCTCCCCACACCTGTCCTCTGCCTGCCATTCACAGAAGACCTGGCTCACTTCCATGGGCATGTCTTCATGTGTGCCTTAATGCACATTAATCTATTTTAATGCACACTAACGCATCACCAAAAAAAAAATGTGTTTTTAACTAATATGCACCAAAATAGGCTAACATGCATTTTTCTAGTACTTCACAATGGAGGTACTAGATTTAATATGCATTACCTAAAGTGCATTAATGTGTGGCTGTGCCCCATGTGCCAGGTGCTTCTGGGCTCGGCATGAGGCTCCGAGGCTGCCAGTCAGTATCTGTCAGGAAAGGCAGCCCTGCCCGGAGTGGGGTGGGAGCACAGTAAGCCTGTCTGCTACTGCTCAAAACAGGGGGTCGCTTTTAACGTGCCAGATCTATGAGCCCCAAAACTAGGGGCTGATGACATCATAAAGTAATAGGTAGAGTGACCCTAAGGGCTCTGCCCCCCACCCTCAAGCGCTCCCCAGGGGTCGAGTACAGAACGCCCGCCGCAGCCGCACGAGGACTACGCTCTGCGCATGCGCGGGCATGAGCCCAAGACAGGGCCCAGCGGCCGTGCCCTACTTCCGCCCGGCTCGGGGCAGGGGGCGGGGCTAAGAGCGGGGATGGCGGTAGCTGACGTACGCGCGCTGGCCGAGCAGCTAGGATGCGCCGCACGAGTCTACGGGGTGCCGGGGGCCGCTCTGTCGCCCGGCTGTTTGGAAACCGTGAGGCAGCTGAGTGGGCTCTTCCGGGAGACGCTGCCCAGGTACGGTGCGGCGGAGGGAACACGTGGCGTAGTGGCTTGCGGGGAGGTGTGCACATGCGCACTGTAGGGCCCGGAGGAGGGGGCGTATCGGTAAGTGCACGTAGATAGCTGGTGGGGGGGGTCGGCGCGAGGGGGTTGGACTGCGCATGCGTGCGGCTGGGCGAGATAGGGGCGGGGCGCCTGGGGGC